TTTCTGGGAATTGAAGTCCACTCATCTTAAAGTGGCCAAGTTTGGACAACACTGGCTTAAGCAGTAAGGCCTGGAATGGGGCCAGCAGAGCAGAGCCTTTGGGGGGTTCTTATTGTTGTGGGCAGCCCAGAGTTTTGGCAGCTGAAGATCAATCTGCCTAGCAACGGGGCATTTCCCCACTTGCTCCAACCTCACAGGAAAGTTGTAAGGAAAAATAGGGTACACCACCTTGAACTCTGAACAATATAAATTCAATAAAGGAGTATTTTCCCTCTTAACTCTGATTCTGTCCAAGGATGGCCTCAAGGTGTAAAATCTGTTAGGCGCTGTCACCCAATACCTTGGAGGGAAGTCAAAGGAATAAAGGCAGGGCAGGGATCAGCAAGGGAGAGAACAAATTTCTGCTGACTCAAGGATCAAATATAAAAAGAGTTTTATATTCCAGGTGCTTCTTAACTCATGAGTTTTATATTTCATCCTAGCCAGTTCTGTGCACTTTAACATTACTAAAAATAGGAAAACATTTTTTAAACAAAGCAAATGCAATCGTGTATCATCAAATGCTTTCTCTGAGAAAAATAATGTCTTCCCCATGGGTGGGGGAATGATGGGTCTTATAATATGAAGTCACTTTCCCTCATGATTTATAAGTACTTGTTCTGATCAAATCAATTATTGTTTTTAATAAATTGTAGGTCTGCTCATTTGGGACATTTTGGTCAGTTTATCACAATATTTTAACTGGTTAAACTACTAGACTGGTCAACTAATATTGCTCCCTAAATGAAGACAAGTTAACTTAGCACCTGAATCCCATTCCTTGCAGCCTTCCATCTGTCACTGCTGAGAGGCAAGACCCATTCTTAATATTATCATTTGTAATTGCCCGCCAGGCTGCTTCTGCTTCCTGTCAGTTACCACAAGAAGGTGAGTGCCCCAAATGGGCATTCGTAGTGTTTAGACTTTGAGTTACCCATACTGTAAATAGAAGATAGATGAAAAGAATGAGAGGAGAAAATAGTGACAAAGGTTGTATCCTCTTCTTCTGAATAAGGAAAGGCTGTGTCATTAGCTACATCTATGCTAGATTTACTTCTCTGGGGTTTCTCCTTTGAGCTTTCTGAATACAGGTAGTCCTTGTTTAGTGATCACAATTGGGACTGGCAACTTGGTTGTTAAGCAAAGTGGTCGCTAAGTGAAACCACAACTGTGCTTATGATCTTACTTCAGCTTTTCTTTTCTTTACAGACCTGCAAAGGTCGTAAATGCAAGGACTGGTTGCAAAGTTACTTTTGCATCACTGTTGTAATTGCAAATGGTTGCTGTCTGAGGTGGTCACTAAACAAGGTCTACCAGTAAGGGAAAGCTGTGTCATTAGCTACATCTATGCTAGATAACTTCTGTGGAGTTTCTTCCTTTTCCCTGGGCATGGATATAATCTGTCCCTATTGTGTCTGAGTACCCATGCTATGACTGGATGTCTTGTCTTTCATGCACATCAGGGGTGTGTAACTGGACTTAATCCAGCAGTGGATCTGTCCCCCATTTGCTGTGGGGTTGGGGGAACTAGATAATGGCAAGCAGTAGAGTTTAAGGGTCGGTGCCTCAACCCCTCAGCAAAAGCCTTGGCCCCTGACGTCATGTATTTCTCCATGTAGGAAGAGATTGGAGCATGAACAAAGTCCTTTTATCTGTGCAGAGCAAAGTGGGAAGCGCTGGCCCTACGTTTAAGACAAAATAGAGAGTCAGTACTCCTTTGTTTGGAGCTAATTTCACACAGCACCTTTGTAGGCATTCTAAATAGGGTGCCCACATGGGTGCTCCAGCATCATTTCTGTGCTACTGAGATATCTGCGACAGAGACCAACTTTCAGGTTTGGCACCTCCTGCTGCCACCTGTTACAGATGAAAGGAGGGGGCCTTGGGGTCAGACCATTGGGGAAGGGACCTTTCTCAAGGCCCTGTGGGCCCAAAGTTCCCAGGCTCTTATGTATATAGCACATCGTTTTCTGTAAGAGATAAGATTGAATACATAACTTGGCCTGGGTGGCCCTTATGTCCTACTTGATGATTTTATTATGAACCTGTCCAAGATTTAAGCATCTGCCCTCTCCTCTGTGTTCAGTGTTTCCTAGAAGTGGTGCTATGCACGTGCAGTAGTTGGAAGGGAGGAGGAAATACAACCATGTACAATGGTACCTCTAGTTACGAACTTAATCCGTTCCGTGACTCTGGTTGCAACTCGAGTTGGTCTCAAGTCGAG